CTTTATGCATCACCCTTTTGCTGCTCAGCTCTGCCCCCTCACCTCCTACTTCCCATCAGGCTCTTCCCACCTCTTGTGACTGTGGCATTTTTTCTGCGCAGCTTTCCTGTTATGGCCATCGGATCTGCACAAGAGACCTCATAGCCTGTACTGAACTAAAAAGCCGATTTCTTCATATACAAGGAAAGATATGAATAGAAAGGGAAAAAACAAAATCTGTGCAACTTGTGGAATTTCAGCATTTCCATTCCCATCGTGATCTGATTTATCTGACTTACTTGAGGATCCATCTGTTGTGCTGAGATGTTTTCCAGCAGCAATGACTATTGTGAGCCTTTTGTAAGCTTGCTTCAATTCCCAACATATTTCTTTCCTGTTTCTGCAAGTACAAACATTGATTTCTAACTCTTATTCTTTCGGTGGTGAACACTACACCCTAGGCATCACAGTAATACAAATAAATACTCACAATGAACCTCTTGAGGGTCAAAGAAAACTGTGTTTTCTGACCACGTTACCCACGCTGTGGATAAGAACGGCCAAAATGCTGGGAACTACCCAGAGCAAAACCATGCAAAAACACATCCCCCACAGCGTGCCCCAGCATAGTTTTGGAGCCATGGGGTCCAACAGGTCAAATCACCTTTCCCAGGGTGTACAACAGCCCTAGCAGTGAATTTAGCTACTCACCTCTGTTTCCAGCCTCAGGACCTGCAGTCACCTCACATGCTACAAAAATAGTAGCCTACCAAGGTACTCGTGTACACAGGAGGAGGAAAAAAAAAAAAGTAGTCATAAATCAGACTTTTCCCCATCTTTTATATCATGTGGTACAGCCATTTTATCATGTTGTTCCTCAAGAGTGTCCCTGTACATACCACACAGTTACAAATGCAAGCCAAACCGTAAACTACAGTGCATAACCCAACCTCTTATCTTCACACAATAACTTCCTATCATGGGTAAAACCAGGCATCTTCATCTTTGCAATGAAACCTAACCACTTCTAAGGAAAGAAAAGAAAAAAGAACCCAAGAAAGCCACATGTTTCATATCAGAGCAGCATGAAAGAAAGATTGGGCCAGGAAATGATTTTTTTCACCAAGTAAGAGTGTTTTCATAGCTTAGGCGCATAGGATATACCCAGATAAAGGGAATTTCATAGAATCTTATCATAGAATGGTTTGGGTAGGAAGGGACCTTAAAGATGGTCAAATCCATGTCTCTCCAATTTAGAGACAAGGATGTCATGTAGGACAGAGTCAAATGCTTTGCACAAGCTCAGGTAGATGACATCAGTCACTCTGCCCTTATCCACCAATGCTGTAACCCCATCATAGAAGGCCATCGTATTTGTCAGGCATGATTTGCCCTTAGTGAGGCCATGTTGGCTGTCACCAATCACCTCCTTATTTTCCATGTGCCTGAGCATAGTTTCCAGGAGGATCTGCTCCATGATCTTGCCAGGCACAGAGGTGAGACTGACCAGCCTGTAGCTCCCCAGGTCTTCCTTCTTTCCCTTTTTAAAAATGGGGGTTATGTTTCCCCATTTCCACTTGGTGGGAACTTCACTGGACTGCCAGGACTTCTCAAATATGATGGAGAGTGGCCTGGCCACTTCATCCGCCAGTTCCCTCAGGACCTGTGGATGCATCTCATCATGTCCCATGGACTTGTGCACCTTCAGGTTTCTTAGATGGTGTTGAACCTGATCTTCTACAGCAAGGGGTTCTTCATTCTCCCAGTCCCTGCCTTTGCCTTCTGTGACCTGGGCAGCGTGGCTCAAGCACTTGCCAGTGAAGACTGAGGCAAAAAAAGTCATTGAGTACCTCAGCGTTCTCACAATCCTGGGTAACCAGGTCTCCCATTTCATTCTGGAGGGGGCTCACATTTTCCTTCATCTTCCTTTTGTCACTGACATACCTATAGAAGCTTTTCTTGTTGCCATTGACATCCCTGGCCACATTTAATTCTATCAGGGCTTTGTCTTTCCTAACCTGATCCCTAACTGCTTGGACAATTTCTCTGTATTCCTCCCAGTCTACCTGCCCTTTCTTCCACCCTCTGTAGGCTTCCTTTTTGTGTTTGAGTTTGCCCAGGAGCTCCTTGTTCATCCATGCACACCTCCAGGCATTTTTGCCTGATTTCCTCTTTGCTGGGATGCAAAGGTACATGTCCTTCTTACATTGGGGACCCCAGAGCTGAACATAGTACTTATGTCTTATATTCCTGAAGATGGAAGGTGCATGGTTAGTCCAGGACTGGGCAGCAGACTGTATAGCAAATACCAGATTGAATTGTTTGCATTAAAACCAACTTTTTCCTCCCTCCTAGCATTAACTGGTAAATTTATGGCTTATTTATGGTATATTTATGGCATAGCTTTTTAGAAAGGTATCAATTATTGTTTTTTAACAAGATTTTGAATTTGAACACATTCATGCTGAGTTCTAGCAGATCAATAATCATTTGACTATTTGATTCTACCTTTTTTTTTCCTCCAAAATGGCATATAAATTATACATGTGAGTTGATATGCGACCTCTGAGGAGACCATTAACTCAAACATCCTTGCTGCAATTAGCTTTTATCTACTATGGATCAGTTCCAATATTTTCTATGTGAATTAGAAAGCTGTAGTAAGTCTGCCCAATTAAAGGCAAATCTCAGCCAAGATAAAGACTTGTAAGAAAAGCAGATGCCAGGCAAAAGCTTCCAAGCATGGCAAGTTAACTTGATCGGTGGGTAGTTTTTGCCACTGTAAGTCCCCAGCTGGTATTGAACTATTGAAACTACTTAAATAAACAGCAGATTTCCAGATCTGGGTTGTTTTGGTTATGTTGATTGCTATCTGTGGTGACTTTAAAGGTACCACCTGAAGTCTTAAAGGTCTAATTAGTACCTGAGTGTCCCTTCCTGAGCATGAAAGGCCAGGTTGGATGGGGCTTTGGGTGACCTGGTCTAGTGGAGGGTGTCCCTGCCCATGGCAGGGGGGTTGGGACTAGATGAGCTTTAAGGTGTCTTCCAACCCAAACCATTCTATGATCAGGTGAATCACTGATCATCTCCCAAAAACCACTAACTATTTACGAGTGACTTTTTAGGACCCCCCGTTACCTCTGTTTAAGTAGAGGAGTAAACTTGGAGGGAGGAATGAATGAGCACTGAAGCATATCCTGCATGTTCTATTTCACTATTTTTATTACTGAATTAACAAAAAACACCCTAGTGTATACAATGACATGGTTTTGCTGCATCAGATTTACTGTGGACATCTGAATGTTAAATTATTAACATAGCAGGTATTCAGACTGTCATCTGAATACAAACGTCCCCATATCCAGAGCAGCACCAGGCTTACTCCTGCTGTGGGCAGGTTTACTATTTCTTGTCCTATTAATTGCCCTGCAGAACGTATTTCACTGTATATCCTTGTGATCTACAGGCCTGACAGAAAATTCTTTTTCACTTTAACTAGAGTTTCACTCTGTCATTGCTGACAAGAAAGGAAATAGTTTCAAGTTCCTTTATTTAGAATTAACTTCAGGCTGTCAGAAAATACACCCTCCAAACTCTCTCATGTTTCCTAGCTGAACCCTGGAGGAATCAGTGAAATGCAGTAACACGCACTGCATGGTTATGGGATATTTTGCCGAGAAGCCAGGAGAAATGTTATTTCAGTGCTATGGCTTATTGCACAAAAATATTTAACAGGCTCTCCCAAGAAACAGCACTTTTCATTCATTTCATGGCAAGCAGAGAGAACAGCCCCTGATGGGTAATCACCTTTCTCTTTTCCCCTTACACACTCACCCCTCACCTGCAAGGGCAGCAGCAACACAAACAACCAGGGCTGCTTTAGGAAAATCCCAGCTACCAACTGCTCTCCAGGTCACTCCAACAGCAGCTGGATGGGCCAGGAAAGGTCCATCACAAAACCCTTCTATTAACACAGGAAAAAGTAACAGCTTGATAGCCTTTGTCCTTATCAAAGAGCTCTCCAGGATCTCAAATGGTAGCTGAGCAGCATCCATAGTACCACACAGAAGCAGACTACCAAAATGCTATTTTTCAGTGCATTTTTTTAAAAAAAATTATTAGTATTATTTTTCACACTTGCCTTTCTCCTGGGCAGGTCCCTTCATGTTTCTCTGGGGGTCTGCAGGCCATGCTGCCAGCAGCCACTAGAGGATGCCCCCAGGGCACTCAGGCAGCAGCAGGTCAGGTTGGCTTGAGTCGAGGCAGAGCCTCCCCATCCCTCTCCTGGAGCTGCTCCTTTCTCACCTGTGGCATTAGCACCCACACCCTCACACACCTGCAGGTGAATTTTGCATTGCTTGTGGTTGCCTGAGGTTAATTTTGCGTGCCCGTGGCAGGGGGTGAGCCAGCGCAGGAACTTCCCGATAGCTCTGAACCTCTGCGGGGCGAGCAGGAGGTGATATTTCAGAACAAGTAAAACTCCTAAAGCACTGGAAAAAGCAAAATCCCGGCATCTGTGCTTGCCTGAAACAGCTGTGTGGCGTAAGGAAGAACGCCACTGCCGAAGGAGGGGATTGCATCCCATCCCTCGTGTGAAAGCGGAGCCAGGCTGCAGGTCCCTCGGCAGAGCCCGAGGACCCCGGGGTGCCTCCTTTGCTCTGGCTAGTGACGCCGACCCCCGGGTCCGTCCCCAGCTGCTGGGTCAGATTCCTCCCTGGTGTAAGCTCCCGGGTCTCCTTGGGCAGCCCTGCTCCCTCCCCAGCCCGGTGATTATCCAGTAAGCTGCTCAAGTCAGCTTGCTTTTTATAAAAGCACCTCTAGATTTCAGGCTGGGCTTTATTTATTGAGTTTCCCTCAACTTTTCCTTTCTCCTTCCCTCCTGCCAAGGCCCAGAGATGGTTCAAGCCATGGAAGTAAATAGAAAATGCCAAGCTTAGGTTTTTTAGGTCACTGTAAACTACACACTTATCTGCTTCCAGAACACATAAGCCACGGGATGTCATCTCGGGTCAACAGAGAAGGATAAGGACTAGAAAGGTGGTTTTGGCTGTAGATATGAATAAATCAGGATCACGTAGGAGAAGTATATTTTTGTATTCGAGCAGCCTTTTTTAATCTCAGAGCCCTCTTCCTTTTTCCTCAAAGGCTTCATATTCTTCTGGCAACAAAGATCTTTTTATATCTCTGGGTTTTCACATTCTGCCCAGCAGCCTATCATAAGAAAGCACAAATCTACTAAATAGTAAAATGAGGGATTATTTCCACTCATCTGTTGACAGACATCTCTCCAAATTGGATCAAATGATTAAAGGTATTAGAATGACGTCTTGCAGATCCAGATCAAATCATTTGAAACCTTGAGACTGTTTCTCCTTTGCTTGGAAGGAACCACCAGAAATAGTTGTAGGCGCTAATTGCCCATTATTCTCACGAATGTGAAATTGTTAATTTGGACCTTTGAATATTTTACTTGCTTGAATCCTAACCGGGGGAGCTCAAGATGGAAGGACCGTGCAGAGGCTCGCTTCCCGCCATGCCGTTCGGGATCTCTTCCAACGCCTGAATGGTTCTTCCTCGAGTCGCTTACTCCAAGAAGAGGGGTCCAGGCTGCAAAATCTTCCCACATCTCACATTACGAAGATGGCACTGCTGAAAGTCAAATTCAACCAGAAGAAACGGGTAAAACTAGCGCAGGGACTATGGCTCATGAACTGGTTTTCAGTGTTTGCTGGAATCCTTGTTTTTAGCATGGGGTTGTTCCTCAAAATTGAACTCCGGAAGCGAAGCGAAGTGATGGACAATTCTGAAAGCCACTTTGTGCCCAATTCTTTGATATTGATGGGTATATTATCCTGCGCCTTCAATGGTTTTGCTGGCAAAATTTGTTACGATTCTCTGGATCCCGCTAAATTTGCCAAGTGGAAGCCTTTGCTGAAACCTTACCTGGCACTATGTTTCTTCTTTAACATACTCATATTTTTCATTGCTCTGATTTGCTTTCTCATGCGGGGCTCTCTGGAGAGCACGCTGGCCCAGGGGCTCAAGAACGGCATGAAGTTCTACCGGGACACAGACACCCCTGGAAGATGCTTCATGAAGAAGACCATCGACATGCTCCAAATTGAGTTCAAATGCTGTGGGAACAACGGCTTCAAAGATTGGTTCGAAATTCAGTGGATCAGCAACAGATATCTGGACTTCAGCTCCAAAGAAGTGAAAGAGTAAGTGACTTTGTGGGGTTTATATCATGAGGTATTGTTCTTTGAGCAGTATCATATGAAAGAAATGTACATCACAGCAGGCACTGTCTGGAGGGGGCTTTGTATAAAAAGGGTATGTACTCTGCTCTTGCTTAGTAAGCATCCCAAATGTTCAGGTAGATTGCTTTTCCCCTGACAAATTCCTCTAACGTTATTCAGAACATAAAATATAAAGCACCAAAATACAATTTTCAGTCCTAGGCAGTGTGATGTAAACAGACCGAAAATAATATTTTTTTACTGTCTTTTACCTCTTTATAAACCCATTATTACCCCACACACACCTATTCCCAAAATCAACAGGAAAGTATCAGAATTTCACTATTCCTAAAGCAGATTTCAGTGCGACTTATTAAGTTCCTAAAAAAAAGAATTCCCTAGATATATACTGCTGACACCACTTTTAAAACCTCACTTTAGATATTGGCAATTAATCAATCTCATGGAAAGAAACAGAAAACAGGAAACAGTAACGGTTTAGCGATAACTCATGTATATGTTTTAAATCCGTAAGATTTAGAATTTTATTTTTATATTCCCTCAATGGATTGCTTCAGCACTGTGACAATATTGAGCCATCAACACCCCTTGATGTTCCTAGCTTTACATGGTGTCCCTTGTAGCCAAATGCATTTTAAGTTCTCTCCTGTACAAAAGCATATTTGAGATATATATATACACACACACACACATATACTTGTGCCTATTTTTTTTAAAACTCACATGAAAACAGCACTAGTTTCCTCTGTATAAACCAGGACAGACTGTTGACCAGACACACCTTAATGGCTCTGATGTCAGTGCCCAAAGAGGCCGTAATCTCAAATTCAGGTTAGGCGCAATAAGTGCAATTAAAAAATGAACATAAGAACAAATGAACTTTTGAAATTAAAAAATGAGCATTGAGTATAAATACCCACAACCTTTTAAAAAATTAATCATTGGGGGGGGGGGGGAGGTTTGTTATTCAGAGTTGGGGGGAAGTTTGTTATTCAGAGTTCTTTGGAAGCATCATACATTAATGTTCATACTCTGTGGTTGCACAAAAGGTCTTGCAAACTGGAAGCAATCTGCCTTTTAAATATTTAAAAATGTCTGAAGTAATTTTGAAAAAAAAAAGCTTTGTGCATCTCTTGGGATCCCTGCCTGACTGTGTAAGTGGTATTTCACTTGTGTGTCTCTCTGCATATTGTTTTGACTTGTTGGGTGGTCTGGTTGGTTTTGCAATCCTGAACTAGGACTTTATAGTGAAAACTGTTACAGGCTTAACCTATTGCACTGCGGGGTTATAATAAATACATTCGCTATTTAATAAGGGAGTATTTGCATTGCGAAGGTATACCCATGGGTATAAATAACTACTTGAAAACATAATAAGAAGTTCACCTTGCCAGCATTATATGGAGATTTGAGAGCTGTAACTTAATCCGGCAGCAGTGGAAGGGCAAAGCACAGAGGGAAAACAAGGTTATATTGTCCTTAATAAATGATGTCTTGTTTGGGACTGAGACTCGGGGCAATTTCTTTGCACTACTGAGGCAAGAAATAGGGCATTAAAAATCCACAAATGGATGTTAATGAGTGAATTCAAGGTTTGAACTACGTGGTGGTGTACAATCTCTGCTCACATTCCTGGTGGGATATTCTGGCCCCTTTGAAGCCAATAGCAAAGTTCTTCTTAATTCCGGGGAAGGTGGGAGTCCCTCCCCTGCAATGGGATTTTTACATTATTTGTAGAACAAGGGCCTGATCCAGTCTCTCTGAAGCTGCTGGAGCATTTACACATCAATGGGAATTAGACCCAAGTTGGAGCATGCTTCACATCTAGAGATAAATCCTGAACTGCCTGTGGCATTTAGATATATTTAGGTCATGGCTGCAAAGGGGAATTTTGCTTCACCAGGCTGTTGCAATCACCTCTCTCTGTGACACAGCTTTAAAATACCCATATAGAAAGCTACAAGTGACTCTCAGATTATTTTTTTTCCACCTTTTCGATCATTGAGGCTCTCCATTCTGTCGTTTTCTAAGCGAAATGGCATTTGTTAGAGTTGCAGTCCTCTTATTAGAGTTGTCTTCTGCAGTGCCAGTGGAACTATTGGCCTTCTAAGTATCTCTCATCTCGTAAGGCACCAGACTAAATGGCTGTTTATGGAGAGCAACCACAGTCTCAAATGAACAGTAGTTGAGGAGCTCCTGCAAGGAACTCCAGAAGCTTTTCAACATCCTGTTGCTGAAGCACATTTCATGTTTTAAATGTTGGCTACCTTCCCAAGCCCGGAATAAATGCATAACCCCTTCCTGGAGCTATTATCATCAAAGACAAGCTATTAGGTTTGCTGGACCAGATTTGCTGGTCCAGCTGGATATGGTGGGTCCTAAGGGTGTTGTGGGTCCTTTTCCAAGCTCAGGGCATCTCCAGCATCTCCCTTCCACCCTGACTATGCTGAGATGACTCTTTTCTGACTGCCTCTCCTGAAATCTCTCTCTGCAATTTACTTTTCTTAAAAATAAATTTCTTTGAAGAAGTGACCCAAGAGGGTGCGTTTCCGTCATGAAGAGTTAATTATAGACTCAGTATAGCCTTGACATAGAAAAGGATTTCAGAGAGGAAGAACACCTGGGACAAATGCTGCTGTATAAACAGGGGATGCAGAGAAACGGTACGGCCAGGAGGCACTGTGGAAAATCCACATTGCCTTTGCTTTCCTTTCTCGTGCAAGTATATCTTGATGTGTGTGTGCGTGTGTGTGTGTATTCACGCTTCCTTCTGCCCTTGCCCATAGTCGGATCAAAAGCAATGTGGACGGAAGGTACTTGGTGGACGGCGTCCCTTTCAGCTGCTGCAACCCCAGCTCCCCGAGACCCTGCATCCAGTACCAGGTCACCAACAACTCCGCTCACTACAGCTACGACTACCAAACGGAGGAGCTGAACCTCTGGCGCCGTGGCTGCCGGGAAGCCCTCCTGCAGTACTACAGCAGCATGATGAGCTCCATGGGCGCCGTCGTCCTCCTCGTCTGGCTTTTTGAGGTAACCCTCTCCCCTCAGCCTTGCTTTGCTGAAGCACTGGCTCCAGACAGGCAGAGCATTTTTCAGCATGGACTTTTAACTTAAAGATCAGATCTATTTAAACTAAATTGTCTGTTGCCGTTGTTTGGCTGAGAAAACATCTAATGGTGAACATCTGCAGAAGGCCCAAGAGGTCGCAGGCTGGAGGCACAGTTGGGACGCATGGGGTGGGGGTTAGATTGCAGACCCTCCCTTCAGAGCACGGGGCCAGAGCATCAAGTATTCCACAGCGAGAGGGAAAAAGGGACTGGTTTTGTGCCAAATGCAGGGTGCTCAGCGGGGAAAAAAGGGAGGGCTCAGCTGTCCAGATGCATTACTTCTACGGATGTCACCATTAGTGGGGAATGAAAAGGACGCAAAGCAGCATATCAGAGAGAGACAGCAGTAATTTGTGGGACAGAAAGTGCAATTAAGGAGGTTTTTGTGCTGATGAAGACGAGACCTAGAGCCATGCACAGCGTACAGCTCCAGGGCAGCATTTGGTTTAAGGTCCTTCATCAGCTCCACCAATGGTTTTGGTCACAAGAAGCAGTTTAGGTGAAGCAGGTGGTTCAATTTTATTTTATTCTGCTTTCTGAAACCACCGTGCATATGCAAACAGGTGCCAATACTGCCCAGTGCAGATGTGCGCGGGCACCATAACCCGAAGCGCAGCTTTGCTGCTAAAATACTGTTCATTCGACGTGAGGAAAACACGTCCTTCTGCCTCTGGGAGACAGCCAGACAGCTCCCTAACGCGCAGGGAGCGTGGGCCGGCAGCGGCACGAGGGCTGGCATGTGAGATGCTGGATGCGGAGGTAGGGCAGGGGCGGATGGCAAACAGGGAGGGTGCAGCTGACTGCGCGACACGGAGCGCGGCCGGACCCTTTCTGACCCTTGAAATGGCTGCTGCAAACGGCATTGCCTATTTTAAGTGATTCAGCTGGCTTTTAAAAGATGTTGATAAATGCAAATTAAAAAAAAGATGTATTATATTTTTATACAAGTACTGGCCTACACCCTTCCAGGAATGAAGATGCTTTTTAGAAAATAGACACCTACCCAAATAATCTGTGAACTGAAAAAAAAAAAATCATAAAGTTCCTTCATGTTGCATTATTTTAAAAATAACTACTCCGCACGGCTGAGAAATGTACTACCTCCTTGTAGCGCTTTTATTCTGGTAAGAAGAGAAAGAGAAGTTTGTATCTCAGCTCAGATTCAAATGAAAAGTTCTTGAGGAGAAGGGAATTTCAGCTGTATCTGAAAATCAGAAGGAAATTCAAAAACTCGGGGGGAAAATGCATAGAAATACTAATGCCAGCTGTGAAAAATCATGACTAGGAACCTGTAACATACCTCTGCTGACTTGTAGGAGATTAATGACAGTGATACATTAACATTAATGGCAGCAATAAAAATGCAGTATTTTATTTCTAACTCTTCAAAGTACACCTTTTTTTCAACCTGTGGTGTAATGAGAAATACAATCTTCTCTTTTTTTCCTCCTTTTTCAAAAATGTAAGGTGAGATTTTTTTCAGGCAATCAGAGCACTCTCAGGGCAAAACTCTAAAGAAATATCACAATCCTAGCTTATATTAATTGGCTCTCCTGAATATTTATGACTGGCCTGATATTCGACCATAAAGGGTCCGGATTTGGGTCTCACACTCCCTCTGCTTTTAAGGCAAACTTTGAAGGGAGGAAGCAAAGCAAGAAGCAGACATTAATTTAGCCCCCCCTTGAAATACAACCACTTTCTTTAAATTCCAGTCAGGGTAGGAAACAATTTTATACTGCGTAGGAGCGCAGCAGAGGTCCCGACTGCCAGCCAAGGTAAGACATCGGTCTGGCCAGGCTGCGACGCGGCGGGCAGTTAACCTGCGGACTCCGCGCTTCTCGTTTTCCCTTTGACCGTCTTGCTGAGAGGTTACAGAAAAGTGCAAAAGCAAAGGAGCATCCTGGTTTGCTTTGCGCCTGGAGCCGCTGGAAACTCAGGCCAGCAGCGCGGCCACGACACGCCCCCAGCAAAGCCCTTCTGGGGGCCGGCAGAGGACTCCTCCAGCTGGGTTGGTGGTATTGAGGTGTGGGAAGGGGGCAGAGCACGGAGGCAAACACTGATCGCAGCTCTTACCTTGAGCTATAGAAAAACATAACGTGCCAAACGGGCGTAGGGACCCCAGGGAAGGCCATTTAGGTTTAACGTTTCTTTATTAGGTGCAGGGAAGAAGGAACCTGTTTTGAAGTATCAAAACTTCTATTCGGAAAAAATGTAGCCTGTCATATTTTCTGCAAATATATTATTATCCACACGCTGCTTTTTCTAGCAAAAGCTGTAGGCTTCCCGGGAGTTACAACCGGTCATGAGGGTGACAAAAAAAGATCACACCCCGCTCTAGCTAAGCCGCCTCAGGCTAAACCCTGGCAAACAGATGGGCTTCATTGCAGAAGGTCAAGCAGAGCAAGCCCAGCTGTCTTCTTGACCTGCCTTAGCCAGCGAAGAGGGAATGAGGGTGCGAGGGTGCCCTGAATGGAGCATTTCTAAAGGAAGGGAGGACATCCTGAGATGCTCCAGGTCCTTCACCTATATGAACACGTGGCCCTCGATAGGTCACAACTACTGCAATGGCCGAGACCCTGAGATTCATCTCACATGTGGTGCCACAGAGGGAGACCAGCACTGAGCTCCAGGAGGTGGGAACCCAGGAGAGCAATGAGACACGAGCGGGAAGTGCATTGCTCATCATGTGCTGGAGAGTAAACTCTCTGATGCATTGAACACTAGGAATGAACTCCCAATAATCTTCAAAACCAGTCCATAGGCTGCAGGGACCTTCCGGAAGGGCAGAGTTTGCTCTGCCAGTACAGATCGAGGGGCTGAGCATGCCACGGTGCAGGGGGATGCGCCGGCCCAGCCTGCCCATACCTAGCCCTGGACAAACACTGCGGCCTTGTTCTTCCTGCTGCTTTAAAGTTGTTATAAAATGACAAGAGTTTTCATGTCAGTTTGTGCGTTGGCCAGGGAAATCATCGCTCAGTGAGACTGCGCTAGCTTTGGGACCCTGATGCCCCTGGTCTTCCCTGCTGGACTGTGATTAAGCACAGGTCCACAGCTCAGAGTCACAGACTGGTTGAGGTTGGAAGGGACTCTGGAGGTCATCTAGTCCACATCCCTCTGCTCAAGGAGGGCCACCTAGAGCCAGTTGCCCAGGACCATATCCAGACGGCTTTTGAATATCTCTAAGGAGGGAGACTCCAACACTTCTCTGAGCAACCAGACCAGTGCTCAGTCACCCTCACAGTAAAAAAGTGCTTCCTGATGTTCAAACAGAAGCTCCTGTGTTTCAGTTTGTGCCCATGGCCTCTTGTCCTGCCACTGGGCACCACAGAAAAGAGCCTGGCTCTGTCATCTTTACACTCTCCCTTCAGGTATTTGTACACATTGATGAGATCCCCCTTGAGCCTTCTCTTCTCCAGGCTGAATGTTCTCAGCCTCTCCTCACAGAAGGGATGCTTCACTGAAGGAGTCCCTTCATCATCTCAGTGGTTCTTTGTTGGACTCATTCCAGTATGCCCACATCTCTCTTGTGCTGAGGAGCCCAGCATTGGATACAGCACTCCAGCTCTGGCCTCACCAGTGCTGAGTAGAGGGGAAGGATCCCCTCCCTTGACCTACCAGCAATACTTTGTCTAATGCAGCCCAGGACACCATTTTTTACCAGGGTACCTTTCTTTGCTGCAAGGGCATGTTGCTGGCTCACATCCAACTTGGCACCCACCAGGACCCTCAGGGCCTTTACTGCCAAGCTGCTCTCGGCCAGCCACCCCCCAGCACATGCTGGTGCACGGGGTTGTTCCTTCCCTGGTGCAGGACTCTGCACTTCTCCTTGTTGAACATTATGAGGTTCCTGTTACGTAAATTACTTCAGCAAAACTGATGGTCCAAGGCTCTATGCTATCATATAGGAGATAGACTAATTTACCAGATAGTTGTCTCCAACTTCCTGGACTCTCCTCTCATCCAGCAGAGAAGGCAAGCTCAGGTCAGGGAAGGTGCCGAGAACCCAAACATTTTGCACAGCTTTTAGGAAATCTCAACCCCAAGGCCCCAAAAAACTTTCAGAGCAAGATTTTTAAGAAACTAAAGTCTTAAACGGAGACCAAATGTCACAGAATCTCATCTGAGGGCAGGTCAGCCGCTCCCTTCAGCACAAGAACCTTCCTTTTTTAAAGCACGACCATATTTAGTCACTTAGAGCCATCCAGGAAGCCTGTAAGTACAGCTACTTTTGCTGTCAAATAGTGGGACTTAGTAAGGCAGTCACAAAAACAAGCTCCTGCTAACATACAGTGAGGCAGCAAAAGTAGAGAGCAACATAGAAGCCATCTTTTCTGTCCAGTCCTATCGATCTTTACTTGCAACAGCCATTGCTAGGAAAGATTAGTCCTGTGACTGAGAGCAGCAGAACTGGGGCTCAGATTGAAAGGAAAATGTCAAACACTCTAAATCCCAAGACTAATGTGATATGATTTGTCACTTTTAGTCACCTTTATAGAATAGTGTTTCAAGTGATTTAAGTCATCATGGTATTGATTAGATCCACAACAAAATGAGACTATTTCCAGATTCAGGGCCATGAGAACCTTCTTTGAGGACCAAGGTGTTGCGAGTCACATGTTCCTGTGTTGAACAGGATGAAAACTTGCCTTTGGATATGAAAGTATTAGATGAAGCTTGTTTGTTTGACCCTTTCTGGTCTTGAGTGAAGGCAGAGAAACATCAATATCTGAAAATTTTGAGGGTGACCAGTGGTTACCCTTTAGTCTTCTCAGAGTTTGGAGACACTGCTCATACAAAGTAGGATGACCAGGGTAGATGATAGACTAATGAATGGTCCACAGAAGCACACGCTTGAGCAGCATCCAATGAATCCCAAAGCCAGATGTGAATTTTGCAATTGGCCACGCTATATGCCTGAATCCCAGCTTCAAATCTGCCCAGCTACCCAATGCTGTAACCCTCCATGACAGTTTGTGAGCTTCTTCCATCTCTAGTTCAAAAGCCCCAACAGAGAGCAGCACCTTGCAGGTCCAGGGCAGCTCTCCGTGGGCCTCAGCTGTACCACCAGGTAAGCAACACACAGGGATGCCAACCTCTTTAGCCATTAGGGTTTAGGAAGAGCAGAGGTAATCACTTCCTTGGGAATTCAGATAGGATAACAGAGGCATCGTCCTTCCCTTACAGAACACATCTGATGAGGTCATTAAGAACAATAAGTGGTCTCAGTCTTAGCTTTACCTAGCACATGAAAGACTAAACTAGTCTTACTGCTGCCCCATCCCAACCACCTGCTTTACCACCTCATCAAGGTGGCTCTTCTGGGTGCTGCCTTTTCCTTCTTTCTCTCTCTACTTCACAGATCAATCACTTTTCTTCATAAGCACCACAATGGTGGATGTCACATTGTTGTGAATGGTGTCAGAAGGCAGGAGACTGGCTAAAAACATTCTCTCAGGAGGCAAGTTTGGGATGTTGCTGGTATCAGGGGTGTTACACCAGCACAGTACAGCTGGGACTGGTAAATATTTTATCAGAAACAGAAATTTGATTTAGATGGAATCAGTGAGAGATACAGATCACCTCCTGCCTTGATTTCCTTATTTGCACATGCTTATATAAAAACAAAACCAGAATTTGAGATGGACAGGCTAATGGCTCAAATCCTAATGCTGCTCTGTTCTGCACAGATGCTGATTCATTAATATCTCCTTGATCAGATTAATATACTTGCCAAACATATTAAGGTCAATGTGAAGTAAAAATATTTAGAGTTAAAATTAAGTGGATGGTGGCAGAGCATGTTGTTGCACATACGAACAGCCTTATGTCCATCTAGTGCACAGGAGCAGAGGTTTCATTAAAATCTCTCAGGAGGCATCTACCCTGTGGTGAGGTCCGTGGAAAGCCGCCTTGTGCACATGGCCACACAAAGCTGCTGCTTCGCAGCACTTCCTTCATAGGTTGGTGCACCTGCTCCCCTTCCCGAGGCACTCACCGATATCACACCTCCGCCTTCTCTGTTCCTGTTTGTGAGGAAGCGATTTCCTCCTGCCACGTCCTCCATCCAAAGGGGAAGGCCGCTCAGGATCTCCTCCGGCGTGGAGGATTCCCACAGCTCTTAAGCCGTGTTTGTTTGGTGCCTTTGGCGTTTTGTTCACGCCGCCAGCCCGGGCTGCTGATAGCGGAGGGTGGCAGAGACGTGGACAAGGGTGCAAAGGTTTGCCTGACGCTCTCTGTCTTTTCCATTGCACGGTGCAGATGTCCGTGATGGTTGGATTGCGTCTTCTGCACACCTCTCTGGAAAGCATCGCAAATCCCGAAGACCCTGAATGTGAAAGCGAAGGCTGGATCCTAGAGAACAGCCTGAAGGACACTTTGAAGTCCGCGCTGGAGAATTTGAAAAAGATTGGTAAGTTCAACCAGGTGGAAGCAGATGCCGAAGGGGCCGAAGGAGAGGAAGGTGGGAAGACGCCAGCCATCACAACGGTCAGTTGAGCTTCTAATTGATGTGGACTTTTTATCAGAGAGGAATAAAAAAAACTGAGAATTGTGAATATCTACGTTTTAAAAGCTATGTATCAACCATCAGAACACACATTTCTACTCATGCTTTTTTTTTTTTTTTTGTATATGGGAGTACGCAACATAGCGCACCTTGGGATAATACAGTTATCCACAATGTGATTACACCATATTCATAACTGCTGGGGGACGTGACCCCACTAGGACTTGCAATATTCACGAGTTCCCTTATCAATCAGGGACAGTTAATTAAAAAAAAAAATCACTGGCATCACATGGTGATCCATTCCATCTTATTTTGAAACTAAAAATGGAATTTGAAAAGTTAATCTTTTTCTTCTCAAGTTGTTTTGTCAGCATACTTTATGTACTTCAACTTTTAAAGACAAACAGGTTGGTTTTCTGGGGAGTAACATGCTAGAAGACAAAGGAAGAAGGATTTCCAGAATTGTATATAACTTAGCATACAGGTATTTTGACAAACCTCTCGTATAATGTGATTTTTTTGTTTATGTGCTAAGCAATTGTATTTTCTGCTGTATTCTTAAGATGTACATAGAACAAAATGCAAATTTATGCTGAGAATTTATGTACTAAGCAAAAATTGTAATTTAATGAAACAGCACAAGTATCATGAAAGCAACACTAAGGTAAGATTTTTGTTTGTTTGTTTCTCAGGGTTTCTTTTTCCAGCCAGTATATCCTGAAAGAGCGTATCATAGACTTATGCTTCACCTTGTATTTAAACAAGCAGAAGCTTAGAGGATTCCTCTTGTAGTGGGTGGAATCAGTGCTATGAGCATGTACCAGTTACGGTTATTCTGGACATTTAAAAAAGTATGTCATCTCATGGCTTGCTCCAGAATATTCAAGCCCAACTATTTTTAAAACGAAACCAAAAAGAGGGCTACTTAGAACTAACACTTTAAATGTTTTCCAGGGTTCTAGCAAATGGATATCATTCATCTGCAAGTACTTCAAGCCTCAAACTTTGAGGCCAGGGAAAAGTAAGTTTAAATCAGTCCCCAGCGTGCAAATTTTTTGCAAGTTTTATTTTTCACTATCAGCGATAGGGTACCCTTCATTATATCTTTTAAGTCAAAGAGAAGGCGCATTTTGCATACGCTGCGTGTCTCCAAACATACTGTCATAGCTGGAGGACCCTGTTCACATACAAAGTTGACAAGAAATGGAAAGAGCCTGCTGTGGTGCGTGGCCTCTAGTAAGGGAACAGAGCATCATCCGGAGTTTACCTGCAGCCGCCAGGTACATTCAGCTAAAGGGGCAGAAACTCGAGAGAGCAAACCCCAGCCCCCTGCACAAACAACTGCCGACAGCTCAGTCTCTCCGCTACGAGCCAGGCACCGTGCTCATTTTTACCCCAGCTGTGCAAAACCTCCACTTCTCTGCCATGTACCTGGGAGTTTTATCAGCAGGTCCCTTCCAGCTGGCCGGTGGCCGTTTGCAGCTGCCTAATCGTCGCACAGCCCCTTCGCTTGCGTTCCTAATCACTTGTGCACTTGCCCCAGCAGCACTCAGCTCCTCCGGCTTTGGGTCAAACTCCTTCTCGGACGGACAGACCAGTTCACAGCGGGACAGGTAGGGACGTGGCTGTACATCAAGCCGCAGGCTGTATCTCGGTGGCCGGGCTGTATCAGGCCATCTGCACACGAGGTTTGATTTTGAAAGGTACTTGTGGCATCCTTTCACTTTTTCAAAGCCGGTCAAAGCTTTTCACTTTTTAGTTACAGTAATGAATTAAAAAGTCAACTCGGTTCTTTTGTACGTAAGACTGACTAGAAAAAGGGCGACTAATGTAAAAGCCAACTCGCTATTCACCACAGCCTATCGTCTCTTGCACTGCTGAGGGACACTCTGCGTAGCAGAGCTGTACAAACCAGAGCAACTCCTTCCTTCTCAGTAGCACATCGCTACGACCGGCTGCTGCTCTCAGCTGGTCCGTTAGAGCACAACAGGATTGTGGATGGCGCATGATGTGGCCACGTATATCAGCGAGGAGCTTTTTGGAGGAGTCACATATGGATAGCAGCTGCATTACAAGGATTAATTACAGGATTTCCTTGTGAGGCTTCACTGTGCTGTGATCTATACTGGTTACTTGACTAGACACCTGATTTTTCAAAGAGATCTAGATTTAATGCTGCCCTAGAAATCTGGCTTAGGCCATTGCTTTAGACAGGACTCTCCAATTATTTGTGGTCTCAATTTTTTTTAATTTTTTTTTCTGTCTATTGCTAGAGTGACATAACAAATTGTCAAATTATTCTCTCAACGTGACGTTGGAGAAGCCCGTTCCCAGAGCTAGGGTCTCACGGTATTAGGCAGGTAGAGACACCACCTGAGACAGGTCTATGAAGAATAGTACTGGAATCGGGCATTCATACAAATAAGAACAAATAGTATATATGCGAATGCTGTTGAAAATAAAGCCTCCTGGTTAATGAAGATCTTTGTAACATCTTATGATTACTACAAGATTGTAATATGACTGCTTTGTAAAATATTACATGTAATATATCACTCATCCAATCTTAAAAATACTTTCTCGTGACATCGCAAATGCTGTTCTAGATAAAGATATCTCTGCTGCCTGCAAATGTAAATTTAGGTATTAAAAATTATATTGCAAGTAAAGAACTCTTTAAAGAAAATGTTTAAATATATACAATTTAATACAGATTTCTTTAATTTGCATTACTGCTGACTTTTTCCTTCTGAATTCTTTTTTTTTTTTTGGACCTGTTTTATATGTTCCTGTAGGTGGGAAGCTTTTCCCTCCTTTATACAATGCCCTGAGAGAAAGCAAATCATCTTCTTACACACCCAGCTAAGCTCAGGATGTGCAAACAGACCCCTAAATCACTTGCCTCTTACTAGGAACAGAATCTGCTGGACCATTCTAGTAGCATCCTCTTGTAGTACATAGGAATTACATCACCTTCACGGACCTTAGCTTCTAGAAGTGCTCAACAAGTGAAACCACCGGCATCCTCAGGATCTTTGACGATCAGCTAAACTGTGTGTATAACCTCTTTTTTCCTCATTTAAACCTAACTTGCAACAGACATTCAAAAGAAAGCGTTGTTGTTATTTTAAATTTCAGTACTAAAGCTCAGTTAGTCAACGCTGTCCGCAGCAATCCAACAACACCCAGAGCCGTGCCCTGATTTTCAAACTGATAAACTTCAGGAGGATGTGAGCTTAATTCATACAAACCAGGCCACTTCTTTTTAGGTACCTCCTCACAGATTACAGGCTTAAATCCAAGTACCCACATCCGAGAACCAGCCCAAGGCCTTGAAGTACCAACTTTTAAGGAATATCATTTATTTTTTAGAAAGAAACAACAAAAAGCGCACTATTTTACCGGTGACATTTATTTGAAGGGACACAGAACATTGACTAAAGTGCTTTAAAGGAGGAAATATAAACAGCTTCCTTAAAGCTATTAATTCCTAAGTAGCCTTAATACAATTGATAAGATTAGCCTCCATGCATTACATGGGCTTGGACATTTTATAATACCAGCCAAATTGCATGTGTGCAGCTTAGCAAAGAGCATGGGAATGCTATATCGGGCTCACAGGCGCTGTGCGCTTCCAGCTAATGGTCAAGGAAGATTTTCAAGGCTGATGTAAAGAAAAAGAGATGCCAGCAAAATACTTACTTATTTTAGCCTGACTTACTTGTTTTGTTAAAAAAACCAAACACTGCTCTACCATAAAATGCATAAAACATAAAATGGGGACAGATCACAAATGCTTATTAAAAAAAAATAAAGAGCATTATTAGAGATTAGTTAATTAAGAGATAAGGCCAGAAAAATAGAATGGTGCCATGTGATAACAGGCCCCTGCTGGGAGATGAAGGCTTAGGCAAATTTATTTCTGGTAACAGGAACGCAGCCATCTCAACAGAATCTGAAGTAATGCCTATGTGAAACCTTTTCTTTTTTATTTCTTTTAAATTATGTCAGACCTATAGTGTTCACTGATTGAAACCCTGAAGTAGTAAAACACGTCTGTCAAAGCACCCGCCTTTGCTGATCCCATGTCATTTTCCAGGTTATTACTGAATTTTGATCCAAAGCACATTTGTGAGGTGGGAAAGCTGGAGGAAACCCTGCCCTGGCGCTCAGCTTAGCAGGCACAAGCTCTGCAGCGGCCTTCCTCAGGGAACGCACCCCCATTTTGCAGCCTCCCCCTCACGCGCGGTGCTGGAGGAAGGGCAGAGCAGGGCTCCCACCTCTCATCCCACCGGCCCCTTCTAAAGCAACGCACACAGAACACGTCTTGGCTGATTAACCTGTTTCTTTAAAAAAAAAAAAGAAAAAGGATAGTCCATAAATATGAGTCAACTATAAAGTTCATTATGGGGCACACTTCCATAGTTTGTTCTCAAAGCCAATTTTTCCAGAGCAAAGGGTGGTGCAGGAATCGGACATGCCAGGCAAATGAGGCAACCAAGCCTCCACGTGTTTTACATCACGTTCCCAGGCAAAATAGGGTCAAGCATCGCAAATCAGAATCGGGGAGGCTTGGGCAGGGGACACTTGGCAAGGCACGACGCCAGCTGGGGGGGGCGATGAAAGGAGGAGACCCAAGCCTTGGCTCCCAGCAGCAAAGCCTGAGGCACGCAATTCCCCAGACTGACAGTCTTGTTACAAGGGTGAAAATGAAGTTTAATTCTCAAAAAAAAAAAAAAAAAAAAAGACCATAGCAATCACTTGGCAACAATACGTTCACCTGTTCCAAGACACACGTAGTCCCCAAATGCAAAGTTTTCCTGTTAAGAATTGCTTTTTTGCCTTCCCGAGCGCCCAGGTAAGCTGTTCAGAGGGAGGCACGGCTCGGCCTTAGCCAAACGCTTTTTCAAATGGGAGAGAGTCTCCCCATTTACACGCGTGTTTTCTCTGACAGAAATAACACTAACGTTAAAGATAAAAAAGATGGAAAATACACACAAGGATAAAGTGAATTCACAAGTTCATATGAATGAATCGTTCATTAATTGTATAAATTAATCAAGAGCAGAAGTAACATTGATTCTGTAATGTTGCTGTAGGCATATTTTGAGTAAATTATGACAGCATTTCTTGTTTTCATCCCAGAATTTTAAATGTAATTAGGTCCTAAAATTTGCATTTGTTCTCTACTTGTCTAAGGGGTTTTTTTAACATTTTGGAGAACTTCAAATTATTCTTGAGATTAGGTAATGTTAAAAATAGATTAAATTCATTTCAGAAAGCGTTTTATTCAGGAAGAGACTCCCAACAGTATATCTAGATTTCAAATTCCCACCACAGCATGTCCCCAACTCCAGTGGGACAAAGCGACTCTGTCCCCTCCCTCTTTGCAAGCTGGCGCTCAACCCGACGTGCTGCTCGTGCAGGTACGCGCTCCCAGGGCCACACGTTCTCCTCAAATATTTCACAACTGGGTCTCTGCCGCTCGTGAAGACTTACGAGTGGACGCTGAAGCTCTGAGAGCAGGAAACAACCCCATCCTCCTTCCGCTGCAACCACTACAGCCCTGGGAAACGGCGGGCACCTCGCTAGCCGTGCCTGAAGTGTTTTATTTAAATATCCCACACATGTTGAAATTAAGAGCTGTTACCCCCCAGCCTCCCTGTGTGCTTCCAC